TTTCCCTTTTTTTTTTTAAACAAAATGTACCTTTCCTCCTTGGGACATCCTTCCCTCCGCCGCCGCCGCCACTTCCTTTCCTTGCCGCCTCGACATTGCCGTTATTTGAATTTTTTTTTTTTTTTTAGAGAGGTTGAAAGAAGATGAGCAATTAGAGTGTGAGTGATGAGACTGTGAGTGTTTTTTTTAAGGTCAAGGGCAATTTTGGCAAACCAAGTGAATTTTGTGGGCTTTATGTAGTAATTTGTGGGCGATGTTTAACAAATCCCTAAACATCGCCCGCAATTTACCATATAAAGCCCACAAATATGATATGATTTGACCATTATGCCCTTTTTCTAAAATTGAAATAATCTCGGTGTAAAAAATGTGGAGCCGGACTGGCTCGCCTGGGGAGACCGGATGGCAGGCCGGAGATGCGGGGGACGCCGGAGGTACGTTGTCGTCGACGGAAAACGAGGTAAGTCACCGTTAAAAATCACGGTTTACCGTCGGAGTGGCTTTGGCGCCTAGGTTGGACGCCCAAACCGTAGCCTGGACGTCCAAGCCGGACGCCAGAACCACCAGAATGGCGTCCAGCCCAGACGCTCAGACCACCAGACTAGCGTCCTGGGCAGACGCCACTCCACTAGGTGAGGCGGCCCTGCCAGGCGCCAGTCCAGTGGCTGTGGCAGCCCTGGCAGACGCCACCTTTAATAATTAATGGGCCATGGGATCTAATTTCGAAATAATTGACACAGTTTAACTAAGCACACGATTTAAAGTACTGTACAAGTTTAATAAAGTACATGCATTAGAAAAATATTTTTAATGAAAAAAAAAACCAAACAAACAAACATACTATAAGTACTAATTTTTGTAATTTTATTGAAGTGTTTCACCGATAACATTTGAAATTAATGTTAGTAAATAAAATATGGTTAAAGTCAATTAAAAGACGAAAATAGTAAGTCAAATTGTTCAATTATTATAAAACGAAGATAGTGAGAGTGAGAGATAACTCAAGTGGTTAGAGCTTCTCTCCCGATTTCAGGAGATCTTGGAATCGATTCTCATCACCTACCCTTGTGGCTCTTTAAACACCAAAAAAAAAAAAAAAAAAGAATAGTTTATGAAATATAGCGTACTACTACTACTACTACTAATAATAATAATAAGGAAAAATTGCCTGCAATAATTCCACCTTTGGGGCGTCCGCTAAAAATAATCCTATCTTTGGGTTATTTTTAAATAACCGACCTTTAAACCCAATTCGCTCAAAATGGTCCCAACCAGTCATGTAACTTGTTATAACAAGTTACCAGACACGTGGCAGTCTGTGATTGGTCAAAAAAATAAAAATAAAAAATTTTAAAAAGTTTTTTTTTTATATAAGAAAAAAAAAAATTATTGATTATTTTGAAAAAGCCCCCCACCAGCCCAAGCCACCTCCCTGCCGCCCGTTCCCGCCGGCCGAGCTGTCAGACTCCCCTGCCCCACAGCAAATCCATCCGTCTCTATTGTCACCGTCAACACCAACACCGACCAGTCAACCACCTTACTCCTTCTCGCCACAAGCAGACCGAGTAGCAACAAATCAAAACCCCAACCCCAATAACCCCACTATCGACCCGCGAAAACACCCAGACAACCCTGATTAGAGGAGATTTCAACTAAGGTGGGGGTATGGGTGAAGGTGGCTGAGGTCGCAATTCAGGTAGGGTGATTGGGTGGTAGTTTCGGTTCAGTTGGTGAAGACAATAGTGGTTTGGTAGGTGGTCTCGGGTTGGGGTATGGGTGAAGGTGGCTGAGGTGGTGGACCGGTGGTGAACTGGAAACCCAATCCTAACCTTAAACGTCTTCTCAGTCCCGATCCCGACCCCCTCCCCTTCCTCTGTTCCGATTTCGGCAACTCTCCCCTTCCCCCGACCCTATTCCGGCCTCCCTCCCCTTTCCCCGGCTCGAGTTCTGCCACCCACACATTCCCCCGCCACGATTTCAGCCTCCCTCACTTTCCCCTACCCTCGATTTAGGCCGTCCGGACCACCCACAATAGTGATGACGATGACGTGAGCTTCGATCTGATGGTCGCGGCTGGTGGAGGAGATGGCTGGGGCCGACGACAACACAGTGGCTGGGACTTGTGGAGGAGGTGGCTGGCTTGCTGTCGTTTTTTTTGTTTTTTTTTTTTAATTTAAAATTTTAGACAAATTGTATAGTGACACGTGTATTTTAAACAAAAAAAATACATTTTTAACAGGTAACCGGTCACTTGGAACCATTGTGAACGGATTAGGTATAAAAGTCGGATTATTTTAAAATAACCCAAAGGTGGGATTATTATTAGCGAACACTCCAAAAGTGGGATTATTTCCAGCAATTTTTGCTAATAATAATAATAAATCTATTGAGACAAAGAAAGATGATATGAGATGAGAACCATGTGATAAGAGAAATATATAATATCAATATACTAACTCTTAAAAAAATATATTGGGAGCAAATCTCATCTGCATCACTATGTACTTATAAAGTCTCTTGTTGTAAACAAAATTTGGCGGCTTGACTAAGACTGTATAACATTGATCACTAACATGTCGAACATGTAATTTTTTTCCCTTATTTGTTTCAAATTGAACATTACTTACAGTGGTTGTGAATAGCTTTAGCTGTTGAGCATCACTAGTTACTAGCTAGCTGTTAAGGTAAGGGGTGATCAAAAATTGGTTCGGACCGAAAAAATGGACCGGACCGAACCAAATTAATCGGTCCGGTCTCTGGGTCGAAAAATTTATTTTCCCGGTCTTCACTTCGGTCTAGTTCAAAACCCTATAAAAACTGGTCTTGGATCGGACTTTTTTTTGCTTAAAATTATACATAAAACCTTTAATAATGATTAAGATTATCCTTAACAAGCTTGGAAAACTTTAGTCGTATGAGCTTTTTTATACTAATCATACAAAAAAAAAACGTTAAAATATTGTTTTTCCTTTATATTTTTTCAAGTTTTCCATAAATTATTTAAAAATTAGGAAATTTTTTATAAAAATTCTAAAACCGGTCTGGCTTGGGTTGTGGACCATTTTTTCAGTCCGGGTTCGGTCCTAGCTTAATCGGTCTGGTCTTCATTTCTTGAAATTGAAATGTAATCGTTAAAAGGGAACATAGGTATAAAATAACAAATGTAACCCTCTTTCAGGGACGATGAGAGTCGCAAATTAAACCTCAACCTAGCAAGCTCTTTTTTTTTTTTTTTTTTTTTGTCAAGTTTAGTTGCTTAATTGAAGAGAAATTTTGAAGTGAGGATTGGATAATACTAATCAGTTGATGATGAGAAGATTGCAGAAAATACTATTTTGTCTTAGCTTTTTCAGACAAATTAAGTTCCGATTGGTTAAAACAAATTTAGATAATTGAATAATTCAAAATAGGAAATTTTGTCAACAACTATCATTTAAATAACCACTTTTGAGAACAAGTACCTATTAATTTATTTATTTTTGAAAGAACTACCACAAAAACACAAAAAGTTTAATTAGCACTACCATTTTTGTTTTCAGGCAAGAATCTCCGGTTGGTGGGGTTTACTTTATACAATTTCAATCAATTGCGGTAGAGACAACAATGAAATTTAGTGCCCGAACACATATAGGTAAATTATCTTTAATTTCGCATTGTAGATGATTAAATTTCTCAATTGAATATCAAAATTAGGGTTTATGTCAAAAAATTAAATTTAGGGTTTTATGAAATTGGGGGATTTGGTGCAATTGAATTGTACTACCCAATTTAAGGTTAATGTAGAGACAATTTTGTTAGTTCATATGAGTTTTTTGGACGGAAATTTAATAAATTGGGTCTCCTTAACCGGAAATTCTTGTCGAAAATCAAAGTGGTAGTGCTACTCAAACATTTCGTGGTTTTGTGGTAGTTTTTTCAGATTTTTTTTAATAGATAGTTATTCTCAAAAGTAGTCATTTGAATGGTAGTTGACAAAATTTCCTTCAAAATAAGTTCAAATAAAATGAGTTTATAAAAGTAAAAACAAAAAATTGTTTTTATTTATACATATTCAAATAAAATCACACACAGCTAATATAAGGTGAACTAAACGGACCTTAATCACAATTCACGTGATTAGAATTAAAAAAAAAACATACAAATATACAATCAACTAAAATTTCCTTTGAGAGTGAGGGATAGTTCAAGTGGTTAGAGCTTTTCTCCCGATTTCAGGAGATTTTGGGATCGGTTTTCATCATTATCTGCCCTTGTGGCTCACTAAACAGTGCACCAATAAAAAAAATAAAAAAAATCCATTTTTTTTTAATAACAACTAAAATTTCTTTGTACCCCATGTCTTTCCTGTAATAGAAATAATTATATAAAATAAAATCACACCTGCGAAGGGTCATGCAAAGACGACTTTCTTAAGACACGCTAGTAAGTAGTAACCCACGTGTTTTATATATTTATTCGCTACAATTTAATATTCAATTCAAATCTAGAGTGCTTTTAAGTTTGTAAATATAAAGTAAATCATCCACTAATTCATTTCCATTCAACAACTCTATTTGGCAAACCGGCATTCTTTTCAAGGTAAAACATCAACATTGTACATTTTTTTTTTTTAGAAATTTCAAATTGCATCACTAATCTTGCATTAAATTATTTACTTAATTAATTACTTGCTAACCTCGAAAATCCCTTCAACATGACATTTTAATCAGTCATTAAATTTACATGATTTATATTAATTGCGCATGTGCATCTCGAAGAAAGATAAATTTGTTAACTTCCTTGATTGTCGATGCAGTTTTCTTTAGCAAATTCATGAACATGTTTTCCGGGGAATGGTTATCTGATCTTGTAAGTTTTTTAACCTACTATACTTATAAATAATAATTCATTCTAAAAAAATATGTATATATAATATAGCAAAGACTAAGGATGTTCAGATCATATTATAATTATATAGTTCTTGTTAAATAATAATGATTATTATAATTATTTAGGTAAATGAAGATCCAACATTGATAATGGATGATTATGAATGATGATGAGCTCTCATAGAAATGAAGATGTGTTTGAATTTGAAGAAATTTATCGACTGCCGGATGTGATCTTTGATACTAATAATCCGACCTTTACTAAAGGTAACAATTTTGAGATCACACCGAGTATTGATCGTAGTTGGAGATCATCTGGACAGCTCATATGTTTCGGGAGCTTGTCGGACTTTGAAACTTCTAACCCTAAACTTAGTAATGGAAGCAAGAAGAAGGTTGGGTCAACTTCGATTAATAATGAGCATGTAGTTGCGGAGAGGAGGCGAAGGGAGAAGATGACTCAAGGGTTTATTGCTCTCTCAGCCCTAATTCCTGGTCTCAAGAAGGTACATATACTAGCTAGTTTGTAAATTATATACCTGCAAGTAAAAGCATGCTTTTAAATTAAAATTAATATAAATCATGGTGCACCTTTAATTTAATTGATCACCTCCCAAAAATTCTAATGGATTCTTATGATTTGGATCTTTAATTTTGGATTGGAATCAATTTGAGAAAAAAAAAATAATAAATCAATTATCTTAATTATTAAGACTAAATACTGTTGAGCATGAATTGTTTTTGTTATTTTTGATTGGAATTCAATTGGGAGTAATTCAAAACAATTATACAACTGTAATTATTAAGACTAAGTAAATATAGGTGAGCGTAAGTATAATCTATAATCACCACTTCAACTATATATTATACACCCATCATTTATAATAACTAGCTAGAAGACGTATATAGCTTAATACTACCTCCATTCTTGAAAATTGTTTACATTCATTAAGATATTCAATATAATATTGTATGAAAAAAATTTACATAGTACGGAGTATAATAAAGTTGAAAGTTGAAGAATATTTATCGAAAAAAATTTAATAAGTACCCACATGACTATATTTTGCACCATACAATATTGCCGAGAATAATTCAAGGTCAATAGCTTTGGAAACATATTGAAATTTTCATCGGTAACAAATTAAAGGTAGTATAGTTTTTGAATTGAAAAGTGTATTAATACCAATACTTTGAGAAAAATTTTGAACACATTGCCTCTATGTTATTAGTATTAATTAGGTGGTGACTACTGACTAGCTATAAGAGGGTGAAGGAAGGGGATTGTTCAAGCTTATTAGACTTGAAATTTTCCAAGAAAATTATACAAAAGCTAGATATGACATACTATGAACCAATGGATGTACGTATTTCATTCATTAGTTGTCTTGGGTAAATATAATAGATGCATGGTTTTGGTTTTTTTTTTTTTTTTTTTTTTTTTTGAAAGGTAATAGATGCATGGTTATTATACTCTAAGTAGTGTTTTTATAAATATTGGGGGTATAGTACACTGCTAAAAGCCCCCCTATCTCTAAGCTTTTTTCTATATATGTATCTTATTTTAATTCCATAATAATAATAATAATAATTACCACATCGGTGTAAGTCGTTTTGTAGGCAGTAAGTAATTAATGGTAGAAATACATATGTCTATGGACTATGGTATGTAATGAACCTTCATCTCCAACCATATCATCATATATGTTTGTAAGCATATATTTTACTTACAATAATACCATTTAAGTAACTATGTACTTGTCTTTCTCAGTCAAATACACTTCTCTTCTCATTAGATCCCATAAGCTAGGTTAACCGATATATTTTCATTTAAATTAAAATAAGTTATATCGGCGTACCATCCAAAATAAATACATACTTCAATTTGAATAATATATAATGTATTGTATTATTAAATAATGCAGACGGACAAGGCATCTATCTTGGCTGAAACAATTGAATACCTAAAACAACTTGAAGAACGAGCCAAAGTTTTGGAAGAGCAGACATCAAAGAGGACAATGGAGTCGGTTTGTCTTGTTAAGAAGAAACAAAGGCATACTTTAAATGATAATTCTGCAACTTCTTATTCATATGATCATCAATACTCCAATAAAACTATAAATTTTGATGATAACTTGGAAATTGAAGCCAAGGTTTTAAACAACAATATCCTTATTAGGGTTCACTCTCTTAAGATTCAAGGCCTCATTCAAAAGATTATTGAGGAAATTGGAAACCTTAATATGATCCCATTAAACTACCAAACCATGCCTTTTGGAAGCTATGACATTACTATGACAATTGTTGCTAAGGTATGTTCATTTTTATTTTATCAATTTCGCCACCTTATGTTTGTCTGAATGAATTGATTGTTATAATGGTTATGATATATGTAGTTATAAAGGATACGTACAAACTCTAAACTAAAGTTATAAAATACTACTCAAATATGATCCTATTAGTTTAGAAATTTATAATAGAACTATGCATTGATAAATGTCATTAATTATATATTTGATATATGTTTTAGTTTTTCTATTTATAATTTATATTCGGCCATTAGATGCATATATCATATTATTATATAATGATGAATTATTTGAATGAGGCCTGAGTACAACTAGGCTATGTTCGGTTTAATCAAATTAGGAAAATTCAAATTAAATTAAATCAGATTCGGTGAACTAATCATAGCTTGAACAAGTTAGGAGGACCAAATAATTATTTGGCAATAAGAAATGATTAATAAAGGGGGGGGGGGGGGGAGTAGATAAGTGGAGTTAGTGGGAGTGCATTAGATTAGATTATTATTTATTAAGAGGTTACAACGTGGAAATAATTAGTCATAAAAGGAAATATTCTATATAATATAACAACATTAATGGATGGACTAAAATGGAAGCATTCGATCTAGTGATTGTGTGGGAGAAAATTACGGATACAAATTAGTAACCACAAATAAAGATTGGACAATTTTTTCATCCTAATTTTCAACTTAAAATTATTTTCCTAAAAAAACCCTACTTATCCATGAAAAATGTATAGTAATGCCCCATAATTTTCTAGAGATTAGAATGTATTATCAACAATAATTTAATCTTGATCTATGAAATAAAGAGATTAGAGCCTTGCATACATTTTGACCTCTTCAAGTCTTCAACCATGAACATGGCCGTTTTTTTGTTTTTTTCTTTTTTTTTTTTGGACGCAACATGGCCGTTTTAAATGTATATTGAGGGTTCTAAGCTACTCCTTACTATATATTGCTCCCTAATATTTGAAAAATGAAGTTATAAAGTATGCAAAAGTAAATAGTTGAATAAAATTAAAAAAAAAAATTATATATGCTATAATTAAATTGAAGAGGCCAAATTGAAGTAGTCCAAGGAAAATTGTCCTAATAACGCAACTCCGTATATAGGTACTCCGTATCTCCTTATTAAAACTAACTGTACTCTTTCTAGTTTTTTGGGTCCTTTAGTTTCGAGGCCCTATGATATGAAATATGACTTGTGCACACCATATTCTACAACCTCAACCATGAACATGAAACTAATATCATCAACCATGAACATGTATTGCACATATGCAAGTAAAGGGATCAAATTTAGCTTATTTACGACCCTTTAAATCTATACATATTATAATCATTTTCTTTTTGTCGAAAGGTATTGATATTATTTTAAAATTAACGGTTTGTAAACATGAATTTCAGGCGAGTGATGATTTTAGCATGACCTCGGAGGGTTTGGCAAAACACTTGGGAAATGCTCTCCAAAATATTATATCCCTAAATGTTTAAATTAAGGAAAATGATATACATAACCCTTAGGGCTACATATAAGCATTATATACACACTATAAAATTGTATAAAGTTAGGAAATCATAAATATATAAACACTAATTACACTGATTTATGCGTGTTTTTGTCATGAATTCCTAATTTTATACAATTTTCAAAAGTGTATTTAATGCTTATATATAGCCCTTAGGGCTACATATAGCATTACCCTTAAATAAATTATACCAAAACACATGGCCTTTTGTCGTTTTGAAGTCTCTTCCCGAGTACTCCATTATGCATATTTATTTCTAAGCTTTGATTTTTCAGGGAAAATAAATGTAATTTGAAGACTATTTGACCTCAATTCTTTATGGAACTTTGTAGTTTTCTTGTTCATTATGTGTTGAGCCCTAATATTGTATATTAGTCTTTGGGCCAATGTTTAAGGCCTAATATGTTTCTAGGTTGTAGAAACAAATGAAAAGGTAATAGTTACATGATTCATTCCTTTCCCTCCTTTTATTTGTATTTTGGAACTGTAATTGTATGAATTTGTGTACTCTTTGTATGTTATTGTTGTGCCACGCATAGTTCCACCTTCATATCCTACCCTTGGATGTGGTTGCTGCTATTTGAAGTTGTTCGTAGGGGGGTGGCCTAACTGTGCATTATATGGATCATACATACCATGTCTCGCCTTCCATCGGAACCGTGGATGTTCCTTAAGCATAACAAATATGACCAGTGTTGCACCTTAAGTGATATTAGGTTTTCATACCAGGTGTGGACCAACCCCATGCTAGTTATGGCATATGTACTTGTTTACTTGTTCAAATGTTGTACCTAATGCATAGGTTGTAATTGTAATTGTAATTGTAATTGTTATAAGCATAAATGAAGTATGATGAATGGGTTGAGTCAACCCCGAGTGCTTGACACTTGCTATGGATATAGTGTGGCTAAAGTGCACACATTAAAGAAAACCATGTTTAATAAATGAGAGTCCTAAGCTGGAACATTCATAGTGGGAAAAAGCCCACAGCTTTAGCTGAGTTGGTTCATCTTAAATATAAGTTTAGACCAAATATAGTCTTTGTCTTAGAAACGTTGACAAACTCAATCAATAGCAAAAAAATCTTAAATGCTTTACATTTTTTTGATAACAAATTTGTTATTGAACCAGATAATCATGCAGGTGGGATATGGGTTTGTTATTGGAACGATGAAAATATAATTATTGGACAATTTAACTTAAAGATCGATGTGCTCATCTACACATTACGTATAAGCCTTTAAATAAAGATCTACTTATTTTTGGCATATATGGCCCTGCACAAGAAAATGACAAGAGCCCTTTTTGGGATTACTTGGAATGTTTTAGTAAAAATATTCAACTTCCTTAAATGGTTATCTGCGACTTTAAGGAAATGCTTAATTATGACGATAAAATAGGAGGGCGCCCTTTTGCAAATCATCAACTTAAAAGACTTCCTCATTTTCTTAATGTAACAAATGCTATTGATATTCCTTGCTTGCAGAATGCTTTTTCATGAAAGCGATGTCATGGAAACAATACAATTTACGAGCGAATAGATAGAGTTATAGGAAGTCGTGATTTTTATAAATATCTTTCCAACTTGTAAAGCTTCTTATTGTACGTTTACAGTGTCCTATCATGCTCCTATGTTCTTTGATTCACAGTTTAATGAGCGAAACTACGAGCCTAGGCTATTTCGCTTTCAAAACTTGTGGATGTTAAAAGAAGAATCTCACTCTATTGTGAAAAAAGTTTGGCCTACTCCTATTACAGGCTCTCGATTTTATAGGATTCAACAAAAGATGTGCAGGGTAAAGACACATTTAAAACTTACAAGAATGGGCAAAAAAGAGATATGAAAACAACAACAATAAGCTAATAGGAAATGAGGAAAAAATAAAGCAACTCGAAAATAGTCTTCTAGTTAACATATAACATAAACAAGTATAGTCTTAGAAAAGTAAATCGAACAATATAAGCTAAGAAAAAATGACGACAATTAGTAAATTGTTTAATGGGAATAGTAGATTATACGATATGATTAAGGCTTTGTTCTTTCTTACTGAACAAAACTAAATGATGCTTAATCGAACAATTTTCTCGGCTTGAAAATAATGATACGCAAACTTAGCCATTTCTTGGCATGCAAAATAAGACTTTTTAATTATTTTTAAGGATCAAAATAACCTCCAAAATATAAACTGAGCAATTTTTTTGACTCGCAAATTAAGAAATTCTAGAAAATAGGTCTTTTTTAACATCACGTGTGGGTCAACGCCGAATTCCGGCGATCAACTCCTGGATTTTGGCTTAAGATCCCAAGTCACAAACTAAAACTCTTTATAAGGTTCCTTTTTGCCACCTTTTACATAAAAGGTCATTTATTCACAAAATGGACTACTATACATAAAGTTATAAAAGGTCATTTCTTACAAATTTTCCTAGTATTAATTTAACCCATAGAGAACAAATCACAGGATAATCCGAGATTTATAATACTACCTCCGTTAAATACTAGTTGTAACTTTAGAATATTTCATACTTCTCTTACAAATAATACCCCAAAATTACAACTAATATCTAACGAAGGTAGTATAAATTGTGGAGTAAAAGCCACAAAATGGTAGGAAAAACACTATGTTGACGCAAAGCTAAAAGGTTGAGTAAAACTATATACTGTTGTTTAACTATTGCTCGAACGTGATGATCTTATGCATGTGAAATAAATCACAGCCACACATATATGCGAATTTGTTTTGCTGAGTTTTTTTTACTAATAAATACGAGTACTACGTATAATTTCCTCAAAGAAAAAAGAAATACTTCGTGTGTTAAAAAAAAAAAATTAATACTTCGTATTTATTTTATTGGTTATAATTTTATTTTTTATTTTATTTTTTTGCAAGGTAAGCAAAAGAGAAAATATTATGAAAACCTCAGATTATTAGTTATAATTGTGGTTACTCATAAAGTCATAAGCAAGGAAAATACTTTAATTTAAATGTATAATACAAACGCATAAATGCCAATTAGTTTAGACCATAGTTTTTGTACTGACTAGATCAATTTTATTAACATTATGTTTTGATAACAACAATGAAGGAGAAGGGAGAAGGGAGGTGAGGGAAAGGAGAAGGTGAAGGTGACCTTGTAATTTGAGGGGTATTAACGTCATTTCACCCAATAAGTGGGGTTAGCTTTGTCCTTTCAGCCAACAAGTGGAGGGCTGCTTTGTCATTTCATCTGCTATTCTTTCCATATTATTTTGTTTGTTTTTTTTTTTAAAAAAAAAAGTGGTTGTCTAATTAATGGGGGATTTCCTTGACCTTGTATATAGTATTTTCTTTCCAAATCTCTTCCATAAAATAGAGAGATTTGATTTATTAAAACAGAAAGGAAAATGTATTATTCTAATTCCCTCCCCTTCACTCCTTGCATTGTATATATAAACATATAATGATGCATCCCTCATTTTCTCTTCTCTTCCTTTCTCTCCATTTCTCTCTATCCAAACATACACTACCACAAAAATGGGAATAAGCAACACACAATACCCAACAATCAAGTGGATAGGTGATCTCTAGAAGTTTACAGATTGCCTAAATAAGATGAGCATTGTGTAAGTTGAAACTTATAGAACGCCTCCCCAACTTAATCGTTCTATATGATTTATTATTATTTTAATGAAAAAGTGACTTTGCAATATAGAGCTTCTATCTTAGGTAACAACTCTATTTGTTTTTAACATAATAATAAAAGAATGCTTTAAACGAAATAAAAAAAACCCTAAAGCTCCTTTGCTTTGCAATTAGCCGTTGTCACTCTTATTCCCCTCAAAAAAATTTCTTTCTCTCACCTCCTACTCCTCCCTCCTCTCTTCCTCTTTAGATCTAGCTAATTTGTTGAATGAACGGCAAGCTCCAATTCTTGACACAATCGGCTTAATTAGTTTGTATTTAGAACTTGTAATGTAAATTTCTTGTAAGGAATTTTATAATTGTAATTGAAATATTTGTAAAAAAATTTTAATTAATATAATGTTATTGCTACGGTTTTTTATTCATTGTATACGAAGAATTATTATTATTATTATTATTATTATTATTATTATTGAATAATAATAATAATAATATAATTTTTTTTAAAAAGAAAGGTAAGGAAAAGAGAGCGCTTATCTGTAGTAGGCGTTCTCTTTTTATATATAATCTATAGAACGCCTATCCTAAGATGACAACTCTCTTTTCCTTATTTTTTATTTATTTTATACCTAGAATATAAAGCGCCTATCTGAGATAGACGACTGTATTATGATAGATATAGAACGCCTCAAAGAGGCGTTATGTAGACTTTATAGGGCACCCCCCAAAAGAACGCCTCTGAGGAGTTCTATATTGCTTGTTTTAGGCGTTCCATATTCCCATTTTTGTAGTAGTGATAGTAAATCTAATAATTTATAATTTGGATCTGTTGTCAAATTGATTGTTATTGATTATTGAACGTTTGTCATGTGAAGTACCTTATTTCGTTATTGATTAAAATGATTTTTTGACTTGTACCAACAAAAAAAAAATACAAATTGTCTTTTATCACCCAAACTCCTAGAAGTGTTATTATACAACTAAAAAAAATAAATTAAAAGTTGGATTTCACCACCAACGAACGGATTTCGATCCATTTATGAATTCGTCAGTGAGGCCGCTTATCCCCTTCTATTTCCCCTTTTATCTTCACGGTTACTCTTACTTTCTTCAATCTTCACCTCCATGGTTCCCATTCCTTCAACCTTCAAAATATTTCCTCTTTTTTATTTATTTTTTATTTTTTAAAATTATCCTCTCCATATGCATGTTATTGTGGTTTTTTTTTTTTTAAAAAAAAAAGTCATATGATATATATTTCAAAATAAATAAATAAATAAGAGTCAAAATTTATCGAATTATCTTAATTTTGAAAACTAACAACAACATCAAAAAAAAGTCTAAACCACCCTTTTGTGATTTCTTGTTTCCTATTAAAAAAGACGAACAAGCCCTTAAATTTTGTCTTGGGAGGAATTTACCAAGTGAAATCAACTTTTGTCATGTCTTGGGAAATAGAATCCATATAATTGGTGTTTTGCCAATCAACCAAGTGTCTCTCAGAGTAATTATTAAGGACTACTTCATTCGTGATTTAGATGTTTCGATTTTAACCGTTCATGATTTTTTTTTTTACCATAACCGTTTCAGGTTTTCAAATGCACATCTTTGTCACTTATTATCTCTAATACATAATGTATTTGTATAACATTCAATACTCTCTCTAGTATAAGAGTGAGGGATAGCTCAAGTGATTAGAGCTTCCCTTCCGGTTCCAAGAGATCTCAGGATCGATTCTCACCGTACCTCCACCCTTGTGGCTCTCTAAACACCGGAAAAAAAAATACTCTCTCTAGTATTTGCATCTCGTATTAACTTAGGCGTCAAAGGGGTTTCCTCAAACACACCGACCTTGCTCGCGATTGGACCAAGCTTGTCTTCAACCCACATTCAAAAGTCAAAGTCTTGACCGCATTATTTTTCCCGAAATAAATTATAATAAAAATTTAATATTCTGAAGCCGCAAATATGATGGCGGCATATACACAGTGCTCATTGTGCATCTATTGAACATCAAGCTTTAGACCAAGCCAAAGAGCATGAATACTAATTCCAATGAACATATACCCAATGAACTTAAGAGCTATAACTAAAATGATGTTATGCTCGTTGGAGTTTGTATTGTGCATACCCCTTCACCATCCAATTATTCAAATATTTCTTCAAAATATGAATAGTTACAAGATTCAAAATATGAACATAAAAAAGAAAAAAAAAATAAATACTCCTTAATACTTTGGGTCTAGAAATGTATGGTTAATGCTCAAGTTAATCCAATTTGTTTAAAAACCAATAGTGAATGGACGTTCGAGGTTTTCTATTTAAGAAACTTAATTATTATAAATTATACGGAGTAAGCAAAAACTTTTGGTACTACTTCCAGTATATAGTATTTTTATTGTATATATCGGCCAATTGTGAGGTAACATTTAACCTGATATGGGAGTAATTTAAAAAAAAAAAAAAAAAATTGTAAAGAGTATGGTAATATGATTACATCTATGCTAGAGGTGATCAAAATCGAGACGGGTTGTACTTTTGAATAAAATCTTGTGCTCAAACACGCAAAATAATATCAGACTCATTGGGCAAAACTAAGCTTATCAGGCCGGGCTCGAGTTTTGAACTAAAAATACATTTTTAGATTTGCCCAAACCTGCACTTCACGGGTTAGGCCAAATCGGGATAGCAGCTCGGACCATTGATAATCACCTCCAATCTATGTATTACAATTGATTTTTACGAGATCAATTTCTAGTGAAGAGAGTTAAATTATCAAATATTCCATAATCCATGTACAATATTTAATAAAAGCTCGTAATTTATAAGAGGGTAATGGCAAAATTGAAACCTTTATTATTGTTGAGTATTATATATACTCGTAGCATACAAGAAGATAAGAAGAAGATTTTTTTCTGTATTTTTATTTTATATATAAAGCCGGTCTCGCAGCCAGGCCATGAGACAGCGACACTTGGCATTCTAGTTTTTCGCCAAGTGTTGCGCCACGTAGGCAACAAATAGTATGCTAAATAATCGAAATTTAGATAGATTTTTAACAATAAAAATGTTATAAAGTTTTATTATCGATGCACTACTAATATTTCACATATGCAAAATTAATCATAACTTTTAATAAAACTCTAATAACTCGGTTCTATTTCCATCATAAAATTCATTTTAAAAAGTTCTTTAAAATAAGATCCATTTATAATATATTTAAAATAATAGAGAATTAGTAAAAATAAGTTTTAATCGGTAAAAATACTTTCAGTTTAGTAAAAAAATTTAAGTATGATATCGTATGTCTAAATATCCTACATTATCAAAATTGATTATATAACCGTATTTAACATTATATTCAAGCAAAAAGGTTTATTCTAAATTCAATAAACAACCTGGGAATCGCCGGAACACAAAAACTAGTAAGAAAAATAAATTGGAGTACTAAAAAAATTTAGTTTGGCTTAAAGTCCTATTCTAAATCAAACTCACCAAATAATATCTTTCTGACCATCAAATTAACCAATTACTAATAGTAGTAAAATAGTTTAATTCCTGTGCTTTTAAACTCTTCCCCCAATTCCGTCCAAAAAAAAAAAAAAAAAAAAAAAACAAAAAAACTCTTCCCCCAAATTTTTAAACTTTAATTCCAAGTTCATAATTTTTTTTTAAAAAAAGTGATCCTTAAATTTGACATCTTACCGACAGATAGACTAACCAGACTTTGCTCACAAAGAAAGTTCCTCTCTACTTGCTTATGATTTAATAAACCGTGTTCATTCTAATCTGACGGTCCATAAATCATCTCTATTTCTCTTTAAATTATTTGTTCAATTTTTCATACAATTCTTTCTTCTTGATTTTCCGATCTTCCCAATTTTTATCAGTTGACCCTCCTCAGATCTAGCCCAAATTCCTCAATTTTTTCTACACATTCCCTCCTTTTCTAAAATCCCATCAACCCAAATTCACGATTTTGAGGATATTTCTCTTGGATCTGTCATTCTGTAAGTTCAAAATCGTTAAAGTTCTAATCTTTATGGTTTGATTCATTCAATTTTGTTATATAATCATATAATATATAGTTTTTTCATTATAATCGCTAGTTTATTGTTGATATATTAGACAATGGCTAGTGGTTATTCAGCTGTTCCTAGAGATAAATTTGTGGAATTACAATTGCAAAATCATGATACATCATCTCTTATACCAATTACTAGTAATGGGTATGTAAAACCACCGAATGTGGTTGATGGTAATATTGATATTGATGATTCTGAATTTGATAATTACCCTAATTATCCCTTAATTGTCGGTGGTATTGGTAAAGGGTCTGGGGTTCCTGGTGCAGTTTTTAATCTGACTACTTCGATTATTGGTGCTGGGATCATGGCTTTGCCGGCGGCAATGGGGGTTCTGGGGTTAGGTTTAGGGATGGTTTTGATAGTTGTTATAGGGATTTTGTCGGAGATTAGTGTCGAATTGCTGGTTAGATTCGCGGTGCATTCAAAAGCACTGTCGTATGGAGAGGTTGTTCAGTTTGCCCTAGGCCGTCCTGCGAGGATCTTGTCCGAGATTTGTATTATTATAAACAATGCAGGGGTTTTGGTTGTTTATTTGATTATTATTGGTGATGTGATGTCGGGTTCGTATCATCATGTTGGGGTTTTTGATCAGATGATGGGTAATGGGGTTTGGGATCAGAGGAAGCTTGTGATATTGGTGGTTTTGCTTGTCTTTTTGGCACCGTTGTGTGCGTTGGAGAAGATTGACTCCTTGAGCTTGACTTCAGCTGCTTCAGTTGCTCTTGCGGTGGTCTTTGTTGTTGTGACATGTTCCATTGCACTTGTTAAGGTTGTTGAAGGGAAGATTGATCCTCCTAGGTTGACACCAGATATTAGTTCTAATAAGGCGATTGTGAATTTGCTTGTGGTGATCCCAGTGATGACGAATGCGTATGTTTGCCACTTCAATGTTCAGCCTATTTATAATGAGCTTGATGGGCGCTCTCCGCAAAAGATGAATCATGTAGTAAGAATCACAACACTTGTTACTGTAGTGGTTTATGGTTTTACTGCCTTCTCTGGATATTTGCTTTTTGGGAAGAACACTGAATCTGATATTCTCACCAATTTTGATACAGATCTTGGAATTCCCTACAGTGCTGCCCTGAATTATATCATTAGGATAGGATACATTCTCCACCTAGTTCTTGTTTTCCCAGTTATTCATTTCTCACTACGGGAAGCAGTTAATGCCTTGATTTTTACCCATTCATCTATTTCAGATAGTAAGAAAAGGCTTTACATCCTAACTAGTGTGTTGTTGGCCTTGCTTTATCTTGGTTCTACAATGATTCCTAGCATTTGGACTGCATTCAAGTTTACGGGGGCAACAACAGCAGTATCATTAGGTTTCATATTTCCATGTCTTATTGCATTACGGTTGGATGGGCAAGGGCAAAGTTTGACCCGTGGAGAGAAGTTTTTCTCATGGACCATGCTGGTAGTGGCTGCAGTAGTTGGTATCATTGGTGTGATTGGCAATGTTTATGGACTACAAGATCATTCTTAGTTGTCTTTTTTACGAATTAGGTGTCTTTTAGTTGATATTCTTTGGGGGGATAACGAAGAGACATATACAGGTTAGATCTACTTCTGCTGCGGGAATTCGAGGGACCCCTGGAAACAGGGAGTGTACTGTTACATTAATGAGTTTGTCCATATGTAAATTGCTCCACAATGGGCCACAACAATTGTTTATCCATCATTGCATCATGGAGGTTGATCCAAGGATAGATTTTTGCTCGATAATTCAGGTTGCGACTGATTGCACACAATCAGTTTGATGGCTTGACATATGAAGGGGGAGACTTTCATGAGAACTGCTGTATGTTCAGGGATTTGGAGGCTCCATCAGTGTAAGCCCCTGTTCTTAGAACTAATTCAAATGTTATCTCTCAAACTTGATCTTGTGTAATTTGTTAAAGCCTCAAGTGTTCACTCATTCATTATTGAACAGGTCATTGATGTGCATAAAAGCAATATCTGTATCTCTGGCCTGATTTTTGTGTAGGAAACTGCGGAATAAATAGAGTCTAGTATTATTAGCTGTTTCCGGATGCAGAATCCGACCAGTGTGTTACTTTAATAGCAATATTTTGATTTTTTTAATTTTTTTTTAATTTTTTATTTTAGCTTTGCATCAAGTATAAATGTTTACATTCTTGTTTGCGCCGTACTCTTGAGTCTTGACTGTCTTTGAATTTCAGTATTTATTTCATCATCTGTTTCTTGCCTCTCAGTTCACTTCAATGAGTGAAGCACTTAAACTCTTGGGAGCTCAGATTCAGCTTTTACTTAATAGAAAAATGTTCTGCACTTTTGTGGAATACTGTCATGCTAAATATTGGATGTTCGGCTGTTCGCTAGATGGTTTGGCTATTGGATGTCATAAATCAAGCAATGAACTTTCTTCTTGTTGCTACCCTGGTATGATTTGTTTAGGTTAATGGCACTCTTACTGGACTGTATTTTGGACTGATCACATGTAGAAATAATTGGGAACTGATTGATGGAAGGTACTTATTGACAAGCAAAACATTGTTTAGGATTCTTGACGAGTTTGGATGGACGAACTGTAATGTTGACTCAGAAATTATGATGCTGAACAGCTTATGTCATTATGTTTCTTTTATGATTTTGATGAATGTCCAACGAATATACTTGTAATGTGTTGGGAGGTATAGAGCTTATTGAGTAACTTTGTGTTGGGATTTGGGAAGTATTGAGAGATAGGACTTCGATACTCCACCTTTGTTATGTTAATAACTTACTGAGGGAACTAAGAGTGACTGAGTAACCTAGCATTTGAAAGGATATATTTGAGAATGGTTCTTATACCATAATCATTTGGCATGTCTGCCCCCTCATTTGAAAAACTCTTGTCTACTCAAGAATCAAGATTCATCTTTTATCTCTAGCTTTCTAAGCATTTATTCTTGAGAAATCACCTTCCCTTTGACAAAACCTTGGATTTATCATTGGAATATGACAAGCCATGAGGTTAACAAAGTCTTTCAAACACTTCATCCTCACCATAGAAGAAAGGAGTTGCTGCTGTTAACATGGATTGCTCATTCTAAGCCTTGTAGAGTACTGGCTATAAAGACTAGTCAACCATTGCCTAAATCTCATTTGAGTGATTGATGCGCGACTAATGTATGGTGTGGTGTTGTAATCATCACTGCTAGCACTTTCTCTTGTGCTTTCTTAATGCACTCTTCTTCAGGAAGAGCCACTGATGTTTCCCATGCCCGATTCATTCTTCTTGATGTTTCCATTGTTATTGATTCAATCTCCTTTTAAAGTTCATTGTAGCTCTGTAGAAAGTGTGTTAAACACAGATTTGAGATTAAATGTGAGAGTATTGCAGAGAATTCAGACTTTGCAGTTCTAGAGTATAGGTTAAGTGAAGCTAAGATTCTGATTATAGAAGCCAGGATACTGTAATTCCAACCGTACCTTAGGGACTGTGAAAACAAAGTAAGTCTATGCAATATTAACAAACTAGGCCCAAAGACAATTTTCACTATTACACTTTATTGTGTTTCATCAGAACTCTTTAGGCCCAAGTTGTTGGGCTTTGACTCTTGAGGATAGATTTATTTGGGGTTGTAGGGTGAACAGAGAGACAGAAGATGGTCATGACAACTCCCCATTCCCCAAACTTTAATAATGATTCTATGGTACACTCGAGTGTATATATCAACCAACTATTGGCACAACGGCGCGTGCACCATAAGTGTTGTGTGTGGTGATACACGTGATGAATGTATTGATGCACCTCACATCCTGACACATGTGGGGGATGCAATGGTGGATGCACTATGCTATGTGAACTTGGGTGGGGCACTTTCAGTGGTGGGGCATTAAGCTTGGCTTGATGACTGACTTCGCTTTAGTCATCTGAAATTCATTTGGGTATGAAACCATGATAAAATTGACAGTACTACACAGGAGACAGCAGAATGTTGAAACTCACAAACCTCAATAGAGGAATGTGAGCATAAAAGTGTCAGAAACACTAAAATAGGCTATGAATTCCACAACTTTTCTGAACTCCCTAAAGTAGTGCTTGATGACTAGGTGTATATTTTTGCTCACAGAAATCTACTGAAATTGTACTATAAAATGTCGCAGCAGCCAATATTTTTTGAGAAGGTTTATACAACGAACTGGTTCATTCGTTTGTGAACCACTCAGAGGATGCTGTTTACCCTGGCTCCTCCTCTCTGGTTCATCCTGAACCCATTCGTTGTTTGGCCTTTTTCAAAATACACCCTCTTCTAATTTATTTGGGTACTAACTTGGGCATCGAAGGCTCTACCCTAGGCTCGGAGTTCACTTTGCAGGCATATTAGGGTCCTATATATCATTTTGAAACGCACTCCATAACAAATTCCTTAAAAAAAAAAAATGAATATTTATTTCAGTCAAAAAAAAAAGTTTTCAAAATAATTACTCCGTAGTTGAGATATATAAAAGATGTTTATGAGGCAACACGATTATTGTGAAGGACAAACGGAATGTGTTTGCCTATTTATTTTGGTCAAGATGATTAAAGACAATGTACATACATAATTAAACCTAATTTATTGGGTAATAAATGGTGTTTGTTGGGTCGTTATTCAATGCATTGCTACTCCAAACTTATCCATGCGTGTAGTTCAATGGTTACGTATAGCTTTGCATCGCCTCTTATTGTTGCATTGTCTCTTATGGTCATGATTTTATTATGTAGTGAAGAAAACTCTACGACACTTGTACATAATCTAACTGCTTTGATATTTCGTTTTTGTTTGATAGACATTTGGTTCGCGGAATATAAGTATGAGGTATGGGTTTAGAATGACTAAAACCCATACCATATGTTTGGTCGTCAAAAGTATGAATTTTAAACTCATACCTCAAATAGTCAAATCCATGAAGTATGGGGTTTAGAAACCTTGGGAGGAGGTGGGTTTGACCCATTCCATTCCCTTAGGTATCAAATAAAAGGAGAGAATTGTGACTTGTGAGATATTCCATTTCAAAATTGAACCAAACACATGGTATTAAATATCAAGTTCCAACCCGATCCACCTTAATTCCATTCCTGATTTCAAACTCATACCACTTTGCGTACTAAACGCCCCCTTATAGTTCTCTTAATTGTCGAAAATCAATTTTTGGACCACTAGTTAAAAGGTAAATAGCTAAGTATCTAATAATACACGGTGTTAAGCATAATGTTCCAACATGTAATTCAATTCAGATTTTGCCATCTCGTCGGTCATTAGGGAAAAATGACGAGCTTTAATTTTAATTGAATATCTTTAATTTAGAATATCAAAGTACAGAATCAATTATACACCAAAATGTTAGAATCAAATAGAATGACAATCTAAACAAGAGACCGAAATTTGAATGCTTGTATGAAATTAAAAGCCACTATTAGACTATGTTACATTATTTGAATTTTATATATTGATAAATTATTGTTTGTTGATACGTTTAATCAGAGTAATGTCAAACCGCCGCATTATTAAATGAGGTAAAATTATGCATGATTAGTACCTATAATCCGGCTTACAACTTAGGCCCTGTTCACTTCACTTTATTTTTGCTGAACTGAAATTATTTTTACTGAATTGAAATTAATTTTACTGAACTGAAATTATTTTTGCCGAACATAAATTATTTTTACTTAATATTATTTTTTTAAAGTGAAGTGAACAGAGCCTTATTGGTTTCAAATTTTCAATGTATCATGCAAACTCCCTGCATTGATTTTTTTGACAATAACCACCAATAGTTTATATATATATATATATATGTATGTATACTAAAACACCAACAATAGTTATTGAGCTCCCCACATATAACCCTTAGTCATTGCACTATTTCTTGTTTCGATGAGATCTCTTTCATATACAAGTATGATGCAATTTATGTTTGGTCGATCCTAAAAATTATCATTATCCTTACACGATTCACCTTACGATGACTTAGTCATATTTTCAATCTAAATAAACTCGGCGGCTATCCCTTTCATTGTCCTAACTTCTAACCAATATAATTAGTACTAAACCGACACACAAAACCTTGTTACATAGGCTAAAGTTCCAAACCATTGAAACATGATCACTATCCAAATCTAACATAAATATCAAAAATTGATAGGTGGAGTATGGGAAAGGGTCATTGAGTGATATTATACGTTGAGGACAAAAATAATTTCACATGGTAACATTACATTACATTGCATATCTCATTCTCAAAATTTGTGATAGAAGAGACCAAAAAATATGACAAAGTCCAAAATATCAATTGATTGCATGCATACAAAGAAGGCATGTGAATACATGTGAATTTGAACTGTTAGCAAATTTCTTGTTTTTGGACCTACATATATTGTACCTCTGGTTTATTATGTCCGATCTTTTAAGGAGTATTTTTTGTTTGAACTGGTCTTAATCTAAGTCATTATGATTAAGATTTTGACAGATTGAGTTGTTTAGCCCTTCATTATTGTCAACTCAACATATCTTGATCTTATAGTTAGAACTCATAGCATTAATATAGTAGGGTTTGGGTCTACCTCATATTTTTAAGAGACAACTTGCCCATCACAATTGCATAAGCCGTTTTCAGGATTGGAATAAGGTAAGATAATACTACTTTTAAAGTGCTCCAAGTACGACTTGATCTCATAAGTTCAAGATCATGTGATGTAACTTTAATTTTCACCATTCGATTGAGTTTTGCTTGGTTGATAACTAGAGTTGATGTTAAAAATGGGATTTAAAAAAAAAAAAGAATTCATTGTTTATTATATTTAAAATAATAGGCTGTGTTAAGTACTTTCGTTGTTGGTAAAATTTGCTTTCAAATGAGGTTAGCTTGTTGCGATTAACTTGCTAACTACAGAACTAATTCTATTTATCATTGATCTTCTTACTCATTGTAGCAACATAAATCAAGAAAATGAAATTTATTAGTGAAAAATTATAGGTTAAGAGAGGATAATAGAGGTAGATTAATTTTCCATTGAACAAAGCAAAAATACAAATATAATGAGAAACACAACTAAATAAACAAGTAGGAAAATCAGAGAGTAATGAAAGAAGAAATATATTTCGTAATAAATTGGTTAAAAAGTAGGGATGATCTTCTTTAATTTAACTTTAATTCACAAGTTTTAATTTAACGCCAATACTTTAATTAATACAAAATGCAAAATACAAGTATTGTTGTTAAAAAGTTTACCGCCCTCTAGCGTGCGCATGGGGGACATTAAGTTACCACCTTTTCCCATCCACACTTGCTATGAGATAGTTGGCCAATATCAACATTATTTGTGGAATAGGCTCAAAGGCCACTTGTACTATTCCATAATGATTTTTTTTAAAAAAAAGGCATTTTCAATTATTGTTCATTAGATTCATTTTACTTAAGCTATAAGTGAGCTCAAGTTTAGATTCTTTGATTGTTCATGATATATATAATAATTTACTAATGAAATCAATCGTGTTCTTATGTTTAAAAGGAATTGTGTTTGATTAATCTTTGATGTCAGACAACATTCTTATACAATTACTGTTAGTTTTTTATCCGAACCGTTAAATTCGACTGTTTCGAA